AATCGGTAAGTCATTTCCGTTCGATGAAATGAGCGACAGTTCTTGAGGACTACCTGATGCCATTCTTACAGCTATGGCTCTGGCGGTACGCAAGACCATAGAGGGGAAAGGAATTGGTGCGATGAGGGGAGGGAGAGTGGCAGTGGGGAGGGGCTGGCTTTATCTGTGATGCTACTTTACAGCGATATTCGATTAGATTATAGTTTGCGAACCCGTAGAAATGAACACGTTCTACGTCCAACGGCGGAGGGATGGAGGGTCGCGCTTTCGCGCCCATTTTTGTGGGGCAAAATGTGGTGTCAAGGAACGGGCTGAGCGTCGTTCTCAGTACAAGCAATTTGCCGCCCAATTTTAAATCGCAACGTTTCCCCGTCCTGGCAGCTGGGCCATGAGTCTCCCTTGAGCCCTGGCCCAGTAAGTTCCAACACCAATCTGCCTGCGGCACGGCGGGAAGCGGCTGTTTAAGGGTAGACTTCCCCAGACGGCCTGTTTGTGCGATGTGGATGCCATTCGAAGGGATGCTATCATTTAAACTGTGGTAGTGTGCCTTAGTCTGTGCTCATGGCAGTTTGCTGAAAGTATATGACGATTCGACCAAGACATTCACTAGGCCAATAAGGCGGCAACACGGTTGCGTACAAACGCTGTGTCTGATGCTCTTTGCAGCAATTATATCATCTACGTAAGCCAACCAGATCTTTTGGGCATGGGACCAGCCATAGCCTAAAAAGCCACTTGAGCCTGATAATGCTTACTTATGTATACGGGATGTGTGATTTGCTCATGCCTTCTGAAGCCCAGGTGTTTTCTGGTCATCATGTCAGCGTTGGCAAGGTACCTTTTCTAAACGTGGTCAGTCTGATGGGCGTACTTCTTATTTGGAAAGCAATAAAATACACATAAGTCGACTGTTCTTCTCAATGTGAGATTGATAACCAAGCATATTTCATTTACAGGGTTTACAATATAACGACGATATATTGTAGGCCGTCAATCATGATAACCAGCCCCAACCTATCCTGTATTGCCGTTCATAAAAAACGGAGTGCTCCCAGCTCTCTGTTCCACGACGACCTGACCAGAAACATGCGCTGAACTGGAACTACCTTTTCTGGTACAATTTAGTTAAGGTAAGATCCCTACGCTCGTATGGTTTAACAACACCTAATTTGCCAATTGGCATGTTCATAATATATTCATTTCTCCCGCAGAAGTTGTTAAGTCTGACCAGGCGTGGCCTCTGCCAGAGCATGGCTGAGGCACCGACATGACTTTGACAGTCGTTAGCGCTGTGAGCTGGCTACTGCAAGCTGATTTTAGCACCACCATCTGTGCGCGCCTGATCGTGTTCGTCTCGTCTTCGGAGAGGCAATGTAACATTGCTTCGCTTGACACGCCATTTTTTGTGAAATATGTGCCTACATCAACCAAAAAACGCTTCATGATGGTTCGATTCTCCCGACGTTGCAATGCCAGTGCAGGACCTCGAACGCGATGATGACGTCATTGACCCTGCTTTGTGGTGCCCAATGCCCACAGGTGTCATGAACGGACCGTAGCAGGAGCAGCAACAGGCCAGTTTTCAGTCCATGTGGTCCCTGAATAAGCACGCAGGCAATTTAACTATGCACGGTTGCATGGTAACCTTCATGAAAGACGGATTTTCGAACTCGTGCTCTTGATTTTTCGTTTATCAAATGTTCACAAAATCCACACAGCTGTGAGGAACATTTCAGTAATATGCGGAGTAAAATATTCTCATAGCGCACTTATTTATATCCGGGCATGAAAGGGCATACATGCTTATTTCATCTACATGTTCATTATCACCTATTTGCTATCATGCGTTTATCTACATAGAGTTACGAAAATTTCTGGTAACTACGAAATATGTCAAACGCTATCACCAGCTGTTTGTTTGCATTGATAAATGTAAACCTCATACACCTTATTTTTGTAATTCCTTAATGTGTCTCAAGTTTTGTGTAGAAGCTAGCTCAAAGAGATGGTTGAGAGTTTATAAAACGTATTCCACATGAATTGTTGGTGGGTTCGGGTTTAGGATAGCGACTTATTGGTTGGTTCGGGTTCAGGGTGACGACTTGTTGCATGCAGCTTGTCGCATATACCCGAATCAACTACCCAAGAAATGTTGTCCAGTCTAGCGGATAATGTTGCCTCCCCCCTCTCGGCAGACAGGACTGCAGATGGTTGTATGTGCAGCGCAGTACTGCGGCACGATCACTGCAGGCCTGGGTTGACCCTCGTCGACCAGCTTCCAGCTAACCTTTCCATTCCAGTCGGACTGAACAACGCACCCGTTCTACGACCTGCTCCCACTGGACATACGAGTCCAGCGCCTTCCTTAGACTACGGGGAGTGATTCCACTGTCACCCCACTTTATTCCAATCACATGCACAGACAAAAGAGAAAAGCCCTTTTTCTATCATGACCCCCTGAAAAATGGCCTCACTCCGGGAGCGAGTCCTGGCA